ATTTAGTTTGTGATTAAAATAACAATTTAGGACACAATTATATGCCGTTTATTGAGAAAATATCCCCGAAAATAGACTTTTTAGAAAAAACTGAAAATTCACCATGGATCGGACATTGTTCACCATGCATCGGACAGACGGTATGGAGACTGGAAAAATACCATACCTTTATCACAGTGCTTTAAAATCCTTGATATTGATATATTTAATCTTTTATCTAAGAAATAGCCCTCAACTTTAATTTAATCGACGATATTATTGCACAAATGTAGAATGATTCTCGAGACCTCACTCTGCCTAAGAAATGCTTTAAAAGGCTTATAATGCCATAATTCGTGCCTTTTTCTCATAGTTTATCATACTCTGGTTTGTAGAAATAAATTAAGTAAAAATCCAGACGTCATATGTCGATAACTTGTGTTTTGACAAAAAATATAGAGTTTTTATTTTCTTTTCCGCAAAAAAAAAACAGCTGTCAGCTGGGTTCTGTATGAAAATGGTAGTGCTTACCTTTGCATCGAAAAGTGTCCGATGCATGGTTAATTTTTGTCCGATGTACAGTGAAAATAGCATACTAGTAAAAACCAGCTCTAATAAGAATTAAACAAACATTGAAGTGAAATTTAATTATAATTTATGTAAAATTACCAATCCCTGACAAAATTCACCAAAGTCCGACTCGTTCCGTGGAAGTCGAATTTTAAAGAACGATAACTCTAAAATTGCAAAATCATAAATTTCGGGTTATTCCCCTTAGATGATGTAAAAATATGACGTAATTTCAAGGCCATTTACGGAATATTTTTATCACAACATGATAAACACAATCGGTATCATTAAAAAATTTAAATCTTCGTCTTTATGACAGAAACAAATAAATACACAGAACTCTTAAGTTGAAAGAGAGTTTATTGCCTAAAGTTGTCCGAAGCAAGGAATGTGTCCGATGCATGGTGAACTCACCCTACTGCAAAATCACTAATTTTCGTGGGGGTTTACTTTTCGTTGTTTTCGTGGTATGAAGAGACCCACAAATTTATGTCCACAACGAAATGTAAATTTTCATATGCACAACAAATTAAAATTTCTTCATTCTAGAAAATATGTGATTTTACAGTAACACGTAAATATCGATGAATTTTTTAACCAATGGATTATTAGAAAAGAGGGGCTTTTTTAATAAATACAGATAAACAGTGTCTTTTTTACTGTTCCATGCAATAGAAGAGGTGTTCATGATGTTTAAAAATGACAACTTCATCCTATTGAGTCAGTTTAGCAATCCTTCAAGTCCTTTTGAATTTCCAAATAGAAAAGTATTAATTTTGCTCCGACATTAAAATTTGATAAATATATTAATTTTTTTTTTAATTTGTGACACGCATATGTGTGAAGGGTGTGATATTCAGAAAATATAGCTCAAATGTAGGACAATCTTACTTTGAAAAAGATATGTAAATGATTTAAAAGTTCTTTTTGGTTGAAAATAAAAACTTAACGATGAACGGCGACAGTAACGTAAATATCGATTTCTGCTTTAAAATGCGATTTTCGCCTATGACAGTCATTCAAATTACAACAAACAATTGTTGTATTTTAATCAACAACCAACAATGGTTCATATGACAGCAGGAAATAGAATTTAATAGAAAAATTATATAGGTCTAACTTAAATCACGGTACAATTTTTAAAGCGAATTGAGACTATACTTTGAGAATCAGTGATTTACTCTCATTGATATGTCTATACTAGCTATATTCTAGTGAACTTGAAATCAAAGACAACATAAAATTTGTCACGACTGTTTCATATTGGAATGTTTTGGAAAGTTTTATTGTATTTTTCATGGCATTGTTAGCAAATATAACCTTTGAATGGGTCTTATTTATTTTGGCAGACATAATTTTACCAAGTTATAGACTTTGTTTAACATTCCCTCCGAAATACTATCTGGAAAAACATAAGGCTCACGGCAAATGTGACCGGTATCCCGGTTAAAAGGGGATATTTACTTCTCTGTAGTATCTGATTCTGCCCTGGAGTTTCTCGGCGTCCGTGTTTCGTGTCCTGTTCAGAGATATGTAGTGTTTATGTGGATTTATCTTTTTTCATAATTTTTTTTATTACTGTTAATCGCCAAATTTTCTGTGACAACTTATTTTTTAGAGATGTATGATTTGTATTTAAAAGTGAGATAGAGATATTGTACTTAAAAGAAATTTTCTTTAGAGTTCTTGTTATTTTTCTATATCATATATAAAAATAATACTTTTATACGCAGAAATTATTTCTTCAAGTAGACACACAAATAAAGTTCTTTCGAATAAAAAAGTATTTACAGTAATTTGTTAAGCTTACTTACACTTTAATGACATTGGTCTTTCTTTTCTTTTTTTTTTGTACTACTGCTATTTAAAGGTGTAAGTTATAAAACTTGTAATATAATAAAACATCTTGCTTCAAAAGAGCAAAGTTTTGCGGTTACATAAACCTCTTTTTATAACTGGCAGGAAGGAGACCGTCTGTTATTTGATGTTAATTTACGAAATTGCAATGTATTCCTGCAATATTTTAATTAATTTTTCTGTGAGATATGAAATAATAATTTATTTCAATGTAATTAATTAAGGGCTTTATTTATCTTAACTGCACACTTGAGTTCGAACAGCAATATTCTCTGGATTAATCAGAATTCGTTTGGTCCAATTATTGTTTATTGTTTAAAGATTTTATGTTCAGGGGAATAAATTTCAAGTATTCCCTATTATGTATACATCTTGACGGACATGTGTCTTTTCTACCCCTGTGGAAGATACGCAAAAATTCTATGAAGTAAAAAATCACATCACAAAAACAATTTTTTTAATGAAATGTTTTAAATTTTTCGATATATCATTGTTTTCTAATATTTTTTTGGTTCTAAAACAAACACTGACGAAAAGACTTTAACTTACATAGTGCACATTTAAATTGGTTCAAATGATAAATCCAGGGTTAGGATGAGGCCACAATTAGTGTTAAATTAATGTTTTATAAGGGAACAAATAGGAAAAAATCTTGAAATTTCTTCTTCTGCAGAGAGCAATGGCATGATTGATCATATTAATAAGATAAAATCCTCGGATAACTAAGATTCAAATCTGTTCAAGTGAAGACACTGGAGTTAGGACGAGGCTACCAACTGGAATCAGAGATTGTTTTTTTATACATGAAAAAACTTTAAAGACCTTCTTCTCAAGAACAGCAAAGATATGATTGGTCCTATTGATATGGAATCATCCTAAGAAAGTGTAGATTTTTCTTTGTTGAAAGAATGACCCTCGGAGTAGGGTAGGGCCAAATAGAGGATCAACGTTTTACATAGTAATTTATAGGAAAATCTTCAAAAGATTGTCTTCTCAAGAATAGCAATTCTTTGATTAGTCATATTAACATCATTTTGCTATAGTGAAGATGTATGAAAGTCTTCAGGTAGTATAAATTTTTAATTGTTTAAATCATGACCCCCGGGGGTAGTTGATAGCAAAACGGGGATGTTTGAGGAAAAAATAAAACCAAACAAAAAGTTGAAAAATAGTTTTCTCAAGAACAGCAAAGTCATGTTCACTCATAGAATTTAAAATTGTTTGAATCAAAACCGCCATTGGAAGGGGGACGCTACAATGAGAGGGACTAAAATCAAATCTTTTTCAAAGAAATATAGAGGAAAAATACTTTTAAAAATTTCTGCTCAAAAAAGCAAACCAAGAACTGATATTTATATGGAACATTTCAAAGGTGATAGTCGCCCGCGTGGCGCAGTGGTTAGCGCCTCTGCTCTAGAGTCGCAAAGTAAGGAGTCTATCCTTACGTCGCGTGTTCGAATCCCACTGCCGGACTTGGAGACCGGTCCTTCGGATGAGACCATATAAACCGAGGTCCCGTGTCGCAGTAATGCTGGCACAAAAAAGATCCCTCCCTGCTCAATGGCCCTAAGTGCCAAGCACTCTCTCTAAATGTAAAAAATGTAACTTGATTTCCTTCCTGTTTTAGTGTCTATTAGAAGATCCAGTGTGGTGAGAGTTTTGAAAGTTCCTTTCTTCTGCTGTTCAAGTTCACACATAAAACTTGAATACTGGGTACAGGTGGTGTCTTGAAAATGGAATCATCCTGGTTAAATGGTTAAATAACGTATTTTGAGCTTTCTTGAACTATTTCAGCATACATCTAAAGGCCGGTATACACGGTAAGATTTGTATTATGAGATTTGTATTATAATAAAAAATCTTACTGTGTATACACTCTTAATACAGTGTATCATAAGATTTTTCGAATCTTATAAGACTGTATTAAGAAAAGAGCAATGTTCTATTTACTAATACATGTCTTAACTCACCTTTCACTTTCAACCAATCAAATGTACTCACATTGGGGGTCATCTTATTTATATCATTACTAAATAAAGCACATGGTAAATAATAATGGCCGACTTTTCCCGTAAAGATATCGAAAAACTCGTGGTTTTATGGGAAGGGGAAGAGGACTTGTGGAATATTTCAAGCTGTAGCTACCACAAAAAAAGATGCTAGAAGCAGAGCTTACTATTATGATTTTTATTATTTTGACAGAGAGAGAAATCTGACAGGAGAAAACACGTGGGAATAATAGTTTATTTACAATCTTATAAGATATGTATTAGCGTGTGTACAAGAAAGTATTTTAATACAAAAGTATTATAATACTTGTATTATACTACAAATCTCATCGTGTATACCGGCCTTAAGAGAGGTTAAGATTGTTTGTGTTGTACAAATGAACGCATTTTTATTATTTTTTTTAATTTGAAAAATTCCCTCCTTCCAAACACCTTCCAAACACAGACATCTTTACAATTTCATCCGGAAGGGTTCATAAAAGTTAACTTTTTCTTAATTAAGGCATTAATTTGATCGTTTAGCGTAAACTTATAAATCCCGACAAGAGGCATACGGAACAAAGCGATAAAACCACACATTAATCGCTAAAATATAAGCAAAATTAATATCAACAAAAAAATATTAGAGGTGGGATCATGCCATATTATCAAGAATACTTGCGCTTTGCTGTGATTGGCTAAAACAAAATTATCAGTTACTTCATGTTTTTGACAAAATAGTTGAAATTTTAAATAAACATATCTATTATAAAGTTCTACTATTTTACGTATTAAGACATTATTTAATACAACTGTAGGCTGGTGTGCTGTATTTTGACTGCCTGGAATTTTCATACTTTTCAAGAAAACAGGATGAGATTTAGAACATTCATAGGTTCACGTACAGATTTCGTCAAAAATCTTTCTCATATTAACAGTGACTGTTAAGATTCATATAATATATGGATATCATATATATTTGCAACCTTTTGAAATGAAGATCTACTAGTATTATTATTTACAAATAAGCAAATAAGGAATTGTATTAATTGTATAATACAAATTACACGGGAAAGGAACAAAAAATCATTTATTGAATGTAAACAAATTTATTGTACAGTCTGTACATTTGAAGTATAAAAAATGTATGAATTTAAAAAAAGATAACCATATGGAGGACAAAACAAAGGAAAATATTTAAGTGTTTATTCTAATGCATGGTATCCCGATAGAGTCCTTGCAAATGTGTATTAGCGCGTCAGAAACAACACGCAGGCGTGTTAATGACAATGCGCTTGTATGTTTACGTTTTCATGAATGCGCTTGCGTGCTGTTCTAAACGCGCTAATACTCTTTTGCAATGACCCTATGTGGACACCATATCCTTGGCATGCATCGTAGATATATCTGAATGTTGAACTAAAAGTCACAGCAAGAGATTTTGTTTTTAAGAACAATTCTATGATAGGTTTGACCCCAGATTATTCCATTTATCTAAAAATACAAAGCTCTCATGTCAGGTGTGGCTGAACCTTGGGGATACTTATTACTCTTAGACACCTGACCACACAACTTATATTTCCTCAACTCCGTTTTTTAAGCTTTTGGAAAGATGTTTATTGATTGTACATTTTTTACCAAACTTCAAATTAATATTGTACATATGAAATCAGACAAAAGTAATTCAAAAAATGAAAAAGAAAAGGAGAATTGCCAAGTTCATCTGATTTTCTTCCCTGAAATTATTAATTCTAAAAATTTGCTCAGGAAATCACTTTTCCCGAGTTGATTTTTATGTATGTGAAACAAAGATTTCTTCATGATAGTTTAGTAAAACTGGGAGACACGATACCATGAATTTCCTTCCTTATGCGATTGCAATTCATACACAAAATTAACATGATCTACATTATTTTAGTATTAATAAAAAAGTGTTAAATCAGCTTTGAAAATGTTATGCCAATTCAACCAAAATATGACAGATGATATTGCTTACAAGGACAAAACACCGACGATAAAATTTAAAAAATGCTGACTTTAAACGAGGTTGCTGAATTCCCCTTAACATTAAATCATTTGTCAGCAGCCTGTTTCGGTGGGACCGGTAGTGTTCATTCCATCATGGCACCTGATTCTACCTCTGAAGAAGGATATGGAGATAACACAAAGAATTCAATTTCAAATTCCATAAAACAAAACATAATAGGAGCAGAAAAAACACGGACCCCCGAAATATCAGAAGTGGGATCAGGTGCCATAGGGGAGTGATGTTAGTGGTCCATTTTTGCCTCACTACTGATTTGTCTTCTTTGATAGGACTTTAAAGCAAGAATACTTTTGGTTTTATCTGCATATCTTTAGAAAACAACATCGTAGTCTGAGCTTGAACTAGTAAATACTTCCCTATTTAAACAACATAGAAATCATACTTGTTTAATACAAAGACAGATATTACTTATTCACACTATTCTCTTCGAGTGACTATTTTCGATAGAATCTCCAATATTCTTCACCGCTGACACCCAAACAAAAAAGACCACAATAATTAAGTAAAGTTAGTATAAGTTAATCATGGTTTTTACTAAAATAGTAATTATACGTCTTTTACTATGAATTTCAGACATATATATTTAATTTTTTCCCGACATGTTAATGTCATATTCTGATATTAAAAAGAACTTTTTCATAAATATTTTGAAATGTGATAATAAAATTACAACATTGGTATCATATGTAAAAAAATTATATTAAGGTTCCAACTCATAAAATACATTTCTAGCATAAAGGTTTCTAGTAAATAAAGTCAGACTATATTCAATTTTTTTAACTCATCAAGATTGCTGATAAGATCTTTGAATCGACCAAAGAATTTGCAAAAAAAAATACTCTCAAAGAAACCGGTTGTACAAGTATTCTTCTTTTCAACATGCTTAACAATAGCTGTTTTGTACGTAATCATGCTTTTGCATATCGAATCAATTAATATTGAAAGTAGTTACCCACATACATGTTTGAAGGTGATAATTGTGTAAAGCTACTTAAGTAAGGGAAATGAACGATTGAGAAAATGGCATTAATACATTCATCATAAAGTTTTATTGTAGTGGTACTTTACCTCTTTTTTATTGTAAAACATTCAAACATGAAACATATATGTGAGACAATGTGGTTTCTTTTATTTCAATTTCCCAGAGCTGAATAGAGTGCACAGAGGAATGGAATAAAAAAAGTAGCATGAGCTTTGTAGAGCTTTTGACCGACATAAAGAATATTGTATCTAATATCCTGTCGTTTGCTACATTCAAATGTCAAAACAAAAGCCACAACTAGTGTGTTATTATTCTTCTTCTCATGTAAATTTTAAATTAAATCAGATTTTGCTTCCCGGAAATACAATAATTGTGTAAAAAAAAAATCTTTTTTTTCAAGAAAATGGTACTCGTGTTAAAAAGATATCAAAGTAAAAATCATGAGAAAACTTTTAAATTATTTCTTCCAAGGAATTGGTTATTTGTAGAATTACATACATAAACAGAAAATGAAATTATCATTCTAAGTTTAGAGAAGCTTTATAGATTAATAATTCACTTGCTGGTGGAGAAAACCACAATTTTCCTACCTTGTTAGAAAAGATATACATTTAAGATTTGAGTTTTCAACGGAAATATCCTATTCTGCTAAGAGTCTTGTTGTAATATCATTTTCGGTGTGCATAGTGACACTAAGTAGACTTTGGTTGTTCATGTATTCAAGTACATTGCAATTGTTAACTGTGGACATTGAAGAGTTTTTAGCTCACCTGAGCTGAAGGCTCAAGTGAACTTTTCTGGTCACATTTTGTCTGGCGTCCGTCTGTCTGTCTGTCTGTCAGTCTGTTTATCTGTCCGTCTGTAAACTTTTCACATTTTCAACGTCTTCTCAAGAAACGCTGGGCCTGCAGACTTGAAACAAAGCATCCTTTGGTGAAATGGATTAAAGTTTGCTCAAATGAAGGGCCACGCCCTCATTCAAGGGGAGATGATTGGGAATTAATGGAAATTTATTAGCATATTGTAAAAATATTCTTCTCAAGAACCACTGGGCCAGAAAAAAGATGAAACTTATGGGAAAACATCCTCAGGTAGTGTAGATTCAAGTTGTTCAAACCAGCACCTCCGGGGATAGGGCGGGGTCACAACGGCCGACCAAAGTTTTACATAGAAATATATAGGAAAATTCTTTGAAATTCTTCTTCGCAAGAATAGCAAATCCATCATTCATCATATTTATATGACGCATCCTCAGATAGTATAGATTCAAGTTTGTTTAAACCATGACCCCCGGGTGAGGGCGGGGGCAAAATGACCCAAAAAACTTTTACAAAGAAATATATAGGAATTTAAAAAAAAAAAAATCATTTTCTCAAGAATAGCAAATCCATGATTCGTCATGGACTATTTTTGGATAAAGACTTTACAATAATAAACCAATATTTACCTTTTCCTAGCCAGGTGAGCGATTAGGCCCATGGGCCTCTTGTTATGTTTTGCATTTAAAATGACACTTTATTCGATGAATTCGTAGAGAATAGCTCCTTTAATTTACAACCATTTTAATCAATTAAGTGAAAAAACTTTAGTTATTTCTTATAATTTATATCTTTTTTATGTTTTATATCTTTTTCAGCATGTAGAAAGTGAGAGGTTATAAGTTTATACTACTCATCTACTTGAATTTAAGTTTATACTACTCACCTACTTGAATTTTATTTATTGATAATACCTAAACAGCTAGTTGAATTTCACAACAAGACTTTTTCTTCATCTTATCAAATACGCACAAGTTGCTGACTATTTTGTTTTCGTAACAAAAATAGTGATAAAATCCTGATTCTTTTCAAGCAAATTGTGCAAATGTTGAAAAATTAAATTGAAAATATTGTTAACACTTGATTTTTGTTTGAAAAATATATTTTTGAAAGGTTAACTGAAACAGACATACCAATAAGTATTCTAAATATAGAGAGGCTTTTGAGAAACGAATCAAAAATTAAACTTGATTTCTTCTTTGGCAGTAACGACTAACATTAAATTTCCAACAGATATATTCTATCATTTTAATTGTTTTACTGTGATAGAATTCTGTGTGACCCCGGTATATTGATATTTTGTAGAACTTGGTCGTATTTCCTTCCGTATTTAAGCACATTTACGTTGAATACTGAAGAGGATTTTAAAGTTTAAATAACATTTTGTTCAAATAATGAATTTTAAATGCATTGCTCAATTTGTGACAAATTCAAAATTCAAAATCAAATCAGCAAATACATATACGAGGGCTGTTTAATAAATAATGTCCTCGGTGCTCAGAAAGAAGCAAAAGACGTCATGTCAATGTCAATGTTTTAGTCTTCATGATTTTACTAATTAATCTCTTTTAAGTAAAATACATGTCCGTAACATTTTTTATCCAATTTCTGATTGTTGTTAGAACTCATTTTTGGGTATGGCCCTTAGTATACTGGAAAATGGCAGATCCAATGATTTCCCGGACTTGTTTCTTCCCTCTGAAAGGTGTTTTTTTTCAAGTTTGAAAATAGAAACAAGTCAAAAGGTAAAAAATTTGGCGAATATTGTTCATGTGAAAAAACATTAAGTTTCTATTTATCCCGAAAACCCCTTTACTCTTCAGGGCATGCGGGTTTGGACGCTGTCTTGAAGAAATTCAATGTTGTGGATTCCTGATTCTGGATCCTTCCTCTAATAAACCATTTGATTTTTTGCAAAAAAATTGCTTTCTAGACTTCTCCAGAAATTAAACTGTCTCTCCGAATACGAATTTTAACAACAATACCACTAATTTTTAAGAAATTTACATATAAAGCTGTCTCTATGCTCTTGAATTTCTGTGCTCTTGTCAGACATTCGCTGTTTTTATCAAGTAGATCTTATGGTAAATTTTGTTTTGAGGGTTTTAATCAATAGATTCATGTTTCAATATCTATTTAAAAATAAAGCAAACGTGGATAACTAAAATTACCGATATTTCAAAATAATTGTTAAGAATTTCGTATACGCTGTCGTTTTCACTCATTTTTCAAAATATAGGGTGACCTTTGAGTACCAAGCTTTTTTGCCGTCAAACGTTTCTTAAAAACAGTGTAAACTGCTCCCGATATGATGTCTATCAAATTTGCTTTGTGTCTTAAAGTCAATCATACATCATCAAATATTATTTGTTGAAATTTGGCAACCAGTACATAAGTTGTTTTAATTTTTGTTGGCAAGGAGGGTAACCATTTTTGATGCCCATTATTTAATTTTTGATCATTGAAATTTATCTGCTCTTTTGTCTATAAAACAGGCATTGGTTGCTGTAAAAGTCATATATTTCAGTGAATATTTCTTTAGGATTTTTAACAAGTTTTACGACAGCTATAATGAAGCTTTTATTTTCACTGTAGTTTACTGATTCTTTACCATTCATTTATAATGCAGTGTCTCGAAAAGCCCTTGTTTCCCAGCTTCTCACGATGAAACTATGTGATGAAAAGTGGTCACATAAACTGTTATAAATTCATGAAAGATTCAATAATGAGAGAAAGTCAAGTTTAATGTCAAATGATATCTGTAATGTATGTTATATGGTTCAGGACATTATTTATTGAACAGCCCTCGTACAATTTATCATTCAGTCAAATTTCATACTTAATATAATTGTCCATTATTACATTGAATTGACAACGGATTTTCCAGTTATTTCCCGTCCATGATAAGGAGCACACGGGGGTGTGACCTGTCGGCAGAGGATACTTCCTCCTCCATGATGTTTCAGAAGTCAGTGATTGCTCTGCTCCTATTTTGTATTGTCTTATGGACTTTGATATTGAATTTTGTTCGTTATCTCCATATCCTCCTTTTGGAGGTCTGCGTTTGCATTTTCATTTGTGGGTTGTTTTTCTTTTAAATGCAGGGCTTGAAAACTGTTTGTAAACTCCATATATTTTAGAAATACCAAATAAAAAAAAGTTGGCCTTGAAATAAAAGAGAAAATTACCTTTATCCCCACAGCTCTTGAAAGTTTTTCTTTTTTATATTCAGATATATAGGTTATCCTAAGTATCGGCATGAGCATCTGGAAAGAGACAAAATTTGTCCAAAAGGGCAACTGGTGCATTAGAATTCATACCGTAAAAGATTGCTATTTGTTTCAAAAGTCAATAAAACATTGTCTTGTCATTTCAGCTTGTTACTTAACTGAAAGGAATCAAAGAATGGCCTCTGGACCAGACCCTGGCGGCCGTTCAAGGTTTGCTAAACTCGGAATGGCAATAAACGAAGAATTGACCCAGGCCTGTAGAGATGTCTTGGAATTGGAGGTACCTCCTGGTCTTGTCTACAACAAAGTGAAAGCATCTTCAATTTATAAGAAAATACGTCCCGAACAAGAACTTTGTCTCATAGGCGCCAAAGCGGATGGTTATAAAGAATTTGATATTACATTGTTATATACACTGATAAGAAACATATGTACAAAGATTCCTCGTCCAACAAAAGGTTGGGGTGGAAATACGATGCCGTCTGTAGGAGAAACGACGATCGGTGATGATATTGAAAGAATTAGGATGATAAGAAACACTATGTTTGGACACATAAGCTCGGCGAGTACCTCGAAAGCAGACTTTGACGATACGTGGTCAGTCATAGCTGATATCTGCCAAAGACTGCAATCGTACACAAAGAAAGACTATATGTCTGGACTGAGTAATCTTCAGAGTCAGGCCCTAGAGGAGGAATACGAAGCAACAGTCATAGAAAAACTTAGGGAAGATCATAAGAATAACCAGTCTCTAATGGTGAAGTTATCTTCTGTGGAACAGGATTTGCAAGAATTGAAAACAAAATCAGAAAATGAAGGTAACTA